GCTCTCCGCAGCCGTTGCTCGGGCCTCTCCCAGGACCGGGGCTGCTGCGGGGCCGGGCTTGGGCACCCTGCGCCACTCCCATTCGCTAGGATCTGAGTACATTCAGTTACTTCCTTCACATTCGCTGTGGTTGGCTCAGAGCCGCGGACAACGAAGTGCATCGGACCAGGACACAGTTTGACACCCCGGAGGCAAACCAACCAGTCAGGACAGGCAACACACGTTGATTCAAGCCTCCTGGGTCCCACACCAGGGCTGGGAGGTGGCCTCCTCCCAGAGCCATGCTGAGGGTGGGCAATTCATGGGCTGGACTTTGTATTTCATTTTTACCTATTTATTTATGATTCGTTCATGTATTTTTGCATAGTGGGGATTAAACCCAGGGCTTTCACACTGAGCTACAAAGCAGTCCTTTTTATTATTTTATTTATTTTATATTATTATTTTTGTTTTTTGATCGAACTTGGGACCTTACGCACTTGTGAGGCAGGTGACGGAACCACTGAGCTAAATCCCTGGCCCTAATTTATTTAAGACAGTGTCTTGCTAAGTTGCCCCAGCTGGGCTCACACTTGTGATCCACCTGCCTCAGTCTCCTAGAGTGCTGGATTACAGGTGCACACCGCCTTACCTGGTTTGGGCCTGGATGTAGAAGGAATGGAAAATTCCAAGGAGAATTGACTGAGACTTCCAGGCCAGGCCAACCCAGACACATCCTGGGAGGAGTCACAGTTGGTGTTTGCAGGAGAAAGGATGCACGAAAAGTGCTGGGAAAGTGTGGTAGACCAAGTTGCTAGCCTGTCCTAAGTAAAAACCAAACAGCCTCCATGTTGACCCGCTGATCACCCCACCGCCACAGACGCGTCGTTACCCATAACAACGGGTTTGCGTAAAGAAGTGATCTAAGTCATTGCCTAGTAACACTGTGTCATGCTATTGGTACATTCTCCTCCCAAAGTTTATGGCTATTTCCTCTTACAATTTTGCGGTTTTTGCCTTTATAAACTGCCTGTATCTGCAAATAAATGAGACCTTGACAACTCTTTGCTTGGTCTCCTTCTTTCCGCGCCCCTCTTGTCTCATTTCCAGGTACTTCCCCTTCTCGAGCTCTGCCAATTACTGACCCCGTGGGCCGGGGCAAGTGGCGCCCGAACGTGGGGCTCGAGACACGGGTCTTCACCTGGTGGATGCTGCTCGGAAGATCGGCCGATCGACTCCAGGACCTCCGCCCAGACGGCGAGTTGGCTCCGCATAGCAGTCCGCTCAGACCTGCGTGTCTGAGAAAGCGACTGTGCATAGCAAGTCCGCTCAGACCCACCCATCTGAGAAAGCGACCTGCGAGGTAAGTGAGCAGCACAAACGATGGGACAACAGGTTAGTAAACATGAAGTTTTTGTTCAGGACTTAAAGTCCGCCCTCAGGGCGCGGGGAGTTCGGGTTAAGAAAAAGGATCTAATCAAGTTCTTCAAGTTTGTGGAAGAAACCTGTCCTTGGTTTCCCCTTGAAGGAGTTGTTAATGAAAAACGTTGGAACAGAGTCAAAGATTGTTTTAATGATCCCCTGACAAGGATTTCCGGGTAGAATCTAAGTTCTTTTTCTTTTGTGGCGCCTATGTGTCTTGTCTGTGTCCTGTCTGTTGAGTGTTAACCTTACATTCATTCCTAGGAACAAGATGGGAGGATCAAGCTCCAAAAATACCCCATTGGACTGTTTTCTCATTAACTTTAAAATTGTTTTTTCCCCCTGAGCAAGAGGATGTTTACGGGGTTAAATTCTCTCATGGAAAGCTTCCCTCCCTGTGTCAATCCGACTCCCACCGGAGCAAGCGACTGTCTGCCTCCTTGGAAGGGAAAAGGCGCGCCCCCAGGATTTCCTGGGTTCCCTTTCTAGGACGCAGAGGCCAGCTCACCGGTAATGGGACAGAAAGAAAATGAATGGATAAAATCCTCTGTCTAAATGGTGAGATCCCCTGGGTTACTCCCTAGTTTGTCTTTGGAAGGGGCCTCAGGGAGGGAATATACTAACCTCTTATATGACTATCTGTGAAAGAGATTTTACAAGAGAAATCAAGTTATAAATTTTAACTATTTGATAAATGTATCTTTGTTTCAATTTGAATTAAGTTTAACTGGTGTGCTTTAAACATTTCTTGTGCATTGCAAATTCTTAAATTGTGATTATAAGGTTAACTTGCTCTTTTCTGTACTTTGTTGATAAAAACTCAAGGTTAATACTGTTCTATTGGCAGCCAGTCAAATTTAAAGTGTAACAATCTGAGAGCAAAAAAAAAAAAAAAAGGATTCTTTAAAATGAAGTTTATTATAGAAGGTTTATAATAAATGAGACAGAAAAACATTAGGAAAGCTATAAAAGTTATTCTTTTGACATGAAAGGTTTTTATATATTCATCTTGTTAAAAAACAGGTAAAAAAAAAAGATATACAAGACCAGAAGGCCTAAATATGTAGAGAAGGTATATAGAAATCATTTATTTATATTTGCTTGTTGGTTTCAAGTTTGTTATAAAAGGTTTACATTTATAGTCAAGAAGAGCATTCATTCCTTTAACCCTAATTCTACAAGAGATCTCTGTTAATTTTGACCTGCAAAAATTTTGACTAGTCATAACAAAAGATTTTATAATTCAATTGGCCAAAACCATCTGAGTGTACTTGTTAAAATTGTCTTATATGTTTGTCTATCTTAAATGTTCAAAGATGTTTGTATGTTCTTGATCAAAATGACGTCAAATACAAATAGATTGTTGATTTCTACAATCTGGCTTTATAGGATCAAATAAAAAACTTAAAAGATAATTAAATATAACCTTTAAGTTTGGATACGCTCCTGTTGGTAAATACAGAAGCAGCTACTCAGAATTTATTCTGATCTTTGTTCACTAATGGGAGCCAGCAAAATAATTTTCATAGTCTTATAAAAAGATATGCCTTATTAAATATGTTGTTAAAAATGTCTATATTGGTTATCATCAAAGGTCTGAATTATAAATATGTTATTGTAACATGTTTTGATGGTTATCGTCAAAATATACTATTTTCTGTTAAAAAAAAAGCGGGGGGGAAGATCCTGTTGATACAAAGCTACATTACAGGACATAAGAATTCATTATTATTGCCACTTTTCTGGTATACAAAATATATTCATATTGTTTGACCATGCAGGTTTTCCAGTATATTATGATAATAACCTTTTGGTCCAGGTATTCTCCCTTCTCTTCTGCTCCACCTACTTATGGTTATAGGTACATTTATAGACCCACCACTATCCCTGAACAGCTTAACGCTGGGTTTCCACTGAGGAGACCAGATTGGGACCCCAACACTGAAACAGCAGAGAAAACTCCAGGATGTGTCTCCATGCACAAGCAGAAATCTCATTCCCAAAAGCAAAGTTTCCCTTCTTTATCCAGAATGAGGATTTATGGGATTGGTCATTTTGAAATTTCACAAACTTAAGCTTATCTGCAGGACTTTGGAAAACAGATTCACGTTTTCCTCAAACCAACATTTGGAAACCTGCTGCTGCATTGGGAGGAATATGCTTATTGTAAGATGTCAAAGTTACTAGCCTTAGTTTGAATGTTTTTGGCATGGGGCCTCTAATATGTGAAATATCATAAATACTGTGTTATCTCAAATCAGGTTGATATACAGGGCAAAACATTACATGCAGTCATGGCCCTTAAGGAAGGGTCCTCCGAAAACTTGGGTATTTACCTTGCTCAGATAAAAAGAGAGCTTCAATGAGGGTCCAGAAAGTCTTGTTCTGTTTTAGTGACTAAGTTTCTGTTTCCTAAGACTGTAGTTCCTTATCTTTGTTACCCAGCCTTTATAATTGCCAAGGTTACTATTACCCATGATAGTTTATGTTTATGCCTATTTCTTCTTATCTTGCTAAGACATTTTGTGCTACTCTGAAGATTCTGAAACTTAACAACCTTCGAGTTTTTTTTAGTCATCTGGTGTTTTATGACGTCCTGACTCTGTAGAAGTTTCCTAATGTTTGTTTTAGGTCAGATAAGATTGTTATGATATTATCATGTCCCCTCCTCTTAGGTTTGTGGCTTTTTTGCTTTAAAAGTCAAACAATGGCCCAGCCTTCAGTCTAAACTAATTAGCCTAAGCATTGGAATTAGATGAAATTTACATTGTGCTTACAGACCTCAAAGTTCAGGACAGATAGAAAGAGCTAACAGAACACTAAGAGATTTTAACTAAATTGAACCTAGAGACTGAATTAAGTTGGGTGGAGCTTCTCGCTTCTCCCTTTTGCTCTGTTTGGTATTCGATGTACTCCCAAGTCTCCTCTAAATCTGTCTCACCCTTCAAGAACAATGTTGTTTTTATGCAAATAAGTCTGGTATTGTTAGGGATAAGATCAAAACCTTACAGGAAGATTTAGAAAAACGCAGAAAGGAATGAAACCCCCTCTGGACTGGGCTCAATGGGTTTCTGCCTTATCTCCTCCCTTTATTGGGGCCCCTATTAGGGCTCCTGATATTATTAACCATTGGGCCTCTAATATTTAAGAGGCTTACGGCCTTTATTAGACAACAGATAGATACCATGCAAGCCAAGGCCATTCAAATCCATTACCATCGTCATGATCTGGCCGATCAGGAGGAAAATTACTTGTAGATCCGAACATCTATGGAGACCAGAAAATAAGCCTGACATCTGAGAGGTCCAAAAAGAGAATATTGCCAAGTCCTTACAGTCACAGTTACTGAGGGGCCTTGGAATGTCCCTGAAGTTTTCTAGAAACTTCTCCTCTCTTGCTACAGTTCACCCCAATGATGGGTAAGACAGTCAACGCTTGACTGCTCAACCTAAGACAGGGGCTTCTGTCGAGATGTCAAGGCCATCTTTTCCTCTACAACCTGCCTCTCTGACACCCCTCTCCACGGCCTCCCCTCATTGACTTGCATGATATATATCTCTTCCTTAATTTTTATAATAGAAAAGGGGGAGATGTGGTAGACTAAATTGCTAGCCTGTCCTAAGTAAAAACCAAACAGCCTCCATGTTGACCCGCTGATCACCCCACCGCCACAGACGCGTCGTTACCCATGACAACGGGTTTGCGTAAAGAAGTGATCTAAGTCATTGCCTAGTAACACTGTGTCATGCTATTGTTACATTCTCCTCCCAAAGTTTATGGCTATTTCCTCTTACAATTTTGTGGTTTTTGCCTTTATAAACTGCCTGTATCTGCAAATAAATGAGACCTTGACAAATCTTTGCTTGGTCTCCTTCTTTCCGCGCCCCTCTTGTCTCATTTCCAGGTACTTCCCCTTCTCGAGCTCTGCCAATTACTGACCCCGCGGGCCGGGGCAGGAAAGTGGCCCCTGAAGAGCTTTGGTCCCCCAAAGTGGAAAAATCACCAGCTGTGGTGCGTGCCTGTAACCCCAGCTACTCAGGAAGCTGATGCAGGAGGATCGCCAAGTTTAAAGCCAGTCTGGGCTACTACACAACAAGGCCCTATTTCAAAAAGAGTAGAGGAGAGTAAGCCGGCATGGTGTGCATACCTGTAAAGCCAGCACCTGGTAAGCTGAGGCAGGAAGATTGCAAGTTCAAAGCCAGTCTGGGCTACATAGCAAGATCCTGTCTCAAAATTAAAAATAAAAAGGGCCAAGCCAGGCGTGTTGACGCACACCTGTAATCCCAGCACTCGGGAGGCTGAGGCAGGAGGATCGCTGTGCGTTCAAGACCAGCCTGGGCTACTTAGTGAGTTCCAGATCAGTCTCAACTACATAGTGAGGCCCTGTCTCAAAAAAGCGAAAAAAAAAAAAAGGTAGGGGGGCAAGGTGTGCTCAGTGTGAAGGCCCTGGGTTCAGTTCCCAGGAACTCACACACACACACACACACTGTCCCCTAGACCCCCTTTCTGTCTTGCAACTCTGAAGAATAACTGCGGAATGTGCTGAACTACAACAATCTTGAGGGAAGGAGGAACTGGCCAGAAGCGTCAGGCTCTGTCCCAGTCACCCCTGGATACAAGATACCCTTCGGTGGCTGAGCCCCACAGGTCATATGGGCGGGCTGGTGTCCAGGGCCCTTCAGCTGCAGAGGGAGTGGGCACAACAGCCAGCCTTGGAGGACTGGCTCCAAATCAATCCTGGGCTCCTGCTCTCCCCAGCTGCTTATCTGTGACAACACACCAGCTGTGGGTGTAGGTTCCCGTCTCCCAGCACGCAGACTGACGAGCAGGGCAAACCCGTCTCAGCCTTCAAGCAGCTGGACGACAGGCACGTCTAATCCCAGCTGTGTGACTTTGGCTACACCACCCTTGAAGTGGGGCTGGCACCAAGAATCAAGCCTGCTTCACTGCTCGACCAGGGCTTGATCTCATTTACTGACCTATGATTTCCAGATAGAAAAAGGACCAGCTTGGATCAAAACTGGTAACGGTAAGGGTTGCAGGTAGGCGGAGAGTTTATCTCTTCCAAGTGGGAACAGAAACCAAGGGAAAACCTGACAAACCCTCTTGCCTTGCTTGCTTTTATTTTCTTGCATTTACGTGACTTGTTTGAAGACAAATTCTCACTATGTACTTCAGGCTGGCCTTGAACTCTCAGAATCCTCCTGCCTCAGCCTCTCAAATGCTGGGATTACAGGCACACGGCACCACGCCCAACCAGGGGACTTTTTAAATTGCCAGTTTTGAAGCCGCACGGTGGCACATTCCCGCAGTCTTAGCTACTTGGGCTGCCGACGATGACGCAGGAATGTTTGACACTAGCATGGCCGACACAGTAAAACCTCACTCAACTAAAGGGAGCTGGTGCGCTGAGCAATATGTTATTAGTCCCCTCCTAGCTTTGCTGGGCTGGCATCTTTGACCTAACAGTTGCTGAAGGACCTGAAGGCCACTCTTCAGGGACCGCATGTGGGCCTATGCCAGTACCGGCAGGGTGAGTTTTTTTGTTGTTTTCTTCTTTTTTTGGTACTGGGGATCGAACTAGGGACCTTGCACTTGGGAGGCAGGCGGTGGAACCACTAAGCTAAATCCCCCCCAGCACTGGGTGAGCTTTCGATATCAGGTGCCAACAAAAACGCCACCTCAGCTCACACTTCGGCCACCTGGCTCCAAAACGCACCCCGTGAGCCAGGGAGGTTTATCACTCATTTGCCTCCAGTCACTGTGACCTGACCCTAAATCACTCCCTGCTTCAGCCCACAGGTGTCCCCCAAATCCACCCTCGGGGAGGAAGCAGAAGCCTTTTACGAAGTTTCTCCAGAGAAGAGATGGCGGTTCTCAGGCGGCCGGTATGAGACTGTTTATGAATCTTGTTTTTGTGAAGGCCGCCGAATACTCCAACCTGGTGAATCTAAACATGTAAGTGATCAAAAAAAGCTTCTGTTGGTTGATCTGTGTCGATTTTGTTATGGCCAATTCATGCTGCAGGGCTCCAGGCAGTAGGGAGTGCTGGGGGGTTGGGGGGGAGTGTGGCACATTTAGCCAGCCCTGGTGTCCAGGTTACTCAGACAAGAAGAGAGTAAACTAACTGCATGTCTGAAGGCAAGAGTCTCTGTTGTGCAGGAAACATTTCCTTTAATCCACTAGGCGGCTGCAGCCATGCTTAGGAGCCTCATAAATCTACTTTCTCTTGTGCAAAGTTCGTCATTTCAGAGGTCGGCCCAGAGTAACAAGACCCGTACACCTCGTGAAAGCCAGCTGGTTTTTATTCCTTGAGTCAAGGTACAGCCTGGTTTATCTGGCCCTGCCCCGTAGAGGAGCCCTAGGTTTAATGATCAAAAAGTAAAATAGAATAAAATAAAAATCAGGCTGATTGGGGAGGAAGGGTGATGATAATTAAAGGGTGTAGGGTTTCTTTTTGAAGTGATGGAAATGTTTGAAATTGGCTTTAGCTATGGTTTTTTGCTTTTTTTTTTTTTGGGGGGGGGGAGGTACCAGGGACTGAACTCAGGACCTTGTGCTTGTAAGGCAGGCAGAGAAACCACTGAGCTAAGTCCCTGGCCTCAGGCTATGGTTTTAATAAACTAAAAACCACTGGAAAACCAGGACACTTTAAATGGGAAAGTTGAGCTGGGCCACTGATGCATGCTTGTAACCCTAGTTACTCAGGAGGCTGAGGCAAGAGAATCTCCAGTTCAAAGCCAGCCTAGACAACTTCTAAAAACACAAAGTTTAAAACTGGGTAAATTGGATAGTGTGTGAATTATATCCCACTGAAGCTGTTACTTAAAAAAAAAAAAAAAAAAAGAATGTTTCCTGCTGGACTAATCTGGCACCAGTAGGAGAAAGAATTCAGGAAAGCCTACAAAGGTTGGAATTCCGATGGATGAGGTAAGGGTTACATTAAGTGGCTAATGCAAGGCAAAATACTCGGGGCACAGTCCCGTGGGTGTCTTCCCTCCCCACCCTGCCAGCTGCCAACAGAGTATGCCAGTGGAGCTCGGGCACACACAGAGATCTGTGCCCAGTCACCAAGACCACGGGGACGTGGGAGGGACGAGGTGGGCCCGGCTGGACCCCACCTCGGATTTACAGTTTCAGGTGCTGTTCCATCCGCTCTCGGAGCTTGAATTTCTGGACCTAGAGGAAGGACAAGGACAGTCAGGCCGGGGCCGAGCACACTGGGTGCCCAAACCCTGTGTGCCTGGGTCCAGAGATGGGAATTTCTCAGGGTTTTAGTGCTAAGATAAAAAAACTCCAGGGTAGGCCAGCCATGGTGGTGCATGTCTGTAACCCCAGCCATCGGGAGGCTAAGGCCAGCCTGTGCTACATAGCAGGACCCTGTCTCAAAACAACAAAACATCCAGGACACACCAGGATGAGGTGACCGGGTGCCCCTATTCCCAGCCAGCGTCTCCTGCTCATGGTTGAGCTAGGCCGAGGCGGGGCCCCTGGGCCCCTTACGCACCTTTCCTGAGATGGTGAGGGGGTAGTCAGTGACAAACACGATGTAGCGGGGAATCTTGAAGTGGGAGATCTGCGGGCAGAGGGGTAAAGTGTGGAGCCATGCGAGGTCAGAGGCGGAAGCGGCCCGGCAGGCCCCCCAGGGAGAGCCGCTCGCCCACCTTTCCTTTGCAGAAAGCTTTGAGCTCCTCCTCCGTGGTGGTCTCCCCGCTCTTCAGCCGGATGCAGGCACAGATCTCCTCCCCCATCCTCTGGTCCTTCACTCCCACCACCTTCCGGGGCGAAGACCGGCATCGTCGACACTAAGGTCTCCTCGCGAGTGCCCACGCGCAGCATCCTACCTCGGGGTCTCGCCCAGGCCGCCGGGCCAGTGCCTCACCTGCACCTCCTGCACCTGCGGGTGCGAGTGGAAGAAGTCCTCCAGCTCCACAGGGTAGATATTCTCACCGCCCCGGATGATCATGTCCTTCGAGCGCCCCACGATCCTGCAGAAGCCCTCCTCGTCCATGGTGGCGATGTCTCTGTAGGGAAAGCCAGGGAATGGCCTCTCTCTTGCCTCTGCTTTATCTGCTGGTTCATTTCCTCCTCCACTGTGCTAACATTTTTGAGCACCTGTGACATGTCTCCCTGCGCTCTAGGCTCTGGGATACACAGCGGAACAAGACACGACCAGATAAGTTACAGTCCAGATGAGGAGGCAGAGAAAAACAAGCCAGTACAATCCCCGTCATGTTTCTCTCTCTCTGCCTCTGTCTCTCTCTCTCTGCCTCCTTCCCTTCCTTTCTGTATCTATAATATTATTTCTTGTCTGGCTTCTTTTCTGTTTGTTGAGTCAGGATCTCACCATGTAATCCAGGATGGGCTTGAACTCACTGTGGAGCCCAGGCTAGCTTCAAACTCTCAGTGATCTTCCTGCCTCTGCTTCCTAAGTGCTGGGATGACAGCTGCCTTGCCTGCCTCTTTTGAGGGGGGGTGGTTTTTTGAGACAGGGTCTCACTATGTAGTCGAGACTAACCTGGGACTCACTATGTAGCCCAGGCTAGTCTCAAACTCACAGTGATCCTCCTGCCTCAGCCTCCCAAGTGCTGGGATTACGGGCATGCACCACCATGCCTGGCTGGCCTGCTTCTTTTTTTATCATCAGCTTTTAGCTCAAATATTTCCAGATACCTTCTCTGACCAGTCTGTCTAAGGAAATATTTCCCCAGCCCTGCAATACCAAAGCTACTTTTTTTCTCCTATGATACCCTTTAGTGTCTTTGTTTTTTGTTTTTTTTCAGAACTAGGGATTGAACCCAAAGTCTTCATAGTAAGCTATATCCCCAGCCCTTGTTATTTTTTATTTTGAGATAGGGTTTTGTTAAGTCTCTAAGTCTAGGCTTCAACTTGCATTCCTTCTGCCTCAGCCTCCCAGAGTGCTGAGGTTATAGATGTGTGCCACTACACCCAGCTTTTAATTTTTTGTTTTGTTTTGTATTTTGAGACAGGGTCTCGCTATGAAGTCCAGGCTGGCCTTAAACTCACTATATAGCCCAGGTTGGCCTCAAACTCACAGCAATCCTCTTGCCTCAGCCTCCCAAGTGCTGGGATTATAGGCATGTGCCACCGCACTCAGCTCCTTTTAATTTTTTGATATTTGAAAATATCTGTCTTTCTTCCAGGTGTGGGAGTTCACATGTATAATCCCATCACTTGGAAGGCTGAGGCAGGAGGACTCTAGTTCAAGGACAGCCTAGCCTGCATAGTAAGACCCAGTCTCAAATCATCTCCCACCCCTCAAAAAAAGGAGGAGGGAGAAAAGAAATTATCTGTCTTCCTCTCCCAGACCAGTGGGGGAAGTAAGAGAGGCTCCTTCATCTTGCTCCTCACTGGGCGCACAGTTCTGGCACCCAGGACGACATGGGAAAATGGTGAGCGAGCCAATGACAGCTCGGACCCTGGCTCCGATCTTGGGGTGCAGGGGTGATGCCCTGTCCTCACATCATGCCTTACTGCTTGGTGTGGTTCCCCACGCTGTTCACATTTTTGGAAATTAAGTCCCTGGGACGGGAGGGGCCCTCTCTGCACCCCGCCCGCCTGTGCTAGTCGAAGGCTCAGCTCAGCCTGGGAGCCGCCCCCCAGCAGCGAGCCCTGGCCCCGTCTCACCCTGTGCGGTACCACTTGTCCTGCCCGACGGCCTCGAAGGTCTTGTGCGGCTCGCCCCAGTAGCCCAGCATGATGCAGTAGCCGCGGATGCACAGCTCCCCGGGGGTGTTCAGCGCCGCCAGCTCCCTGGTCTCCACGCTCACAATCTGGGCCTGGGACAGGGCAGCTTCAGGCTGGGCAGCGCCGGGGAATGGGGGAGCTTCGCCCAGCTCTGCCCACGGGACCCAGGCAAGGGAATGGGCCCGTCAGTGGGCACAGATGAGCTGGGCGTGAAAGCCCAGCGGAGCCCCCGGGGCAGGGGCTGCTGAGGGCTCAGTGGCAGGGAGCTGTCACCGAGAGGGAGGCCCAGGCCAGCTGCGGAGTTACAAACCACGCGGGGGAAGGCATCTCCTCTCTTTTTCCTTAAGCAACAAATGGAGGAGCCAAAAGGTGGGCATGGCGGGGCCATGTGAACAGGAGGCAGAGTCTGAGAGCCCGGAGCCAAGGGGCGCTGAGACTCTTTGCCTCAGCATCTGCACCCGGGGAATGGTGCACCCTAAGCCTGCCTGCCTTCCGGTGGGGGCATCCCAGGGAGGGTAGGAGGTGGCTGTTAGAGCCAAGGGTGGGCAACCTGGCTGGGGGCAAGGGGACTTGGGCCGCCTGGCAGAAAGTACCACGAAAGGGGTCTGGGCTAGAAGTTGGACTTCAGGATGTGCCCTGAGGGTGAGGTACATGGGACCTCCGAAGGAAAATAAGTGTTTATGCCCAGGCCCAAGCAGAACTCTGCCAGAGCGAGGAGGGGCCCTTGGGGAAGAAAGGGCTGTGGAGGAAAAATCTGTGCCCTGGCTCCTCTCTGAGGCTACCCTGGCTGCCCTGAAACAGACAGTGGGCTTGGCAAAAACACACCTCAGACAGGAAGGGAGCTGCGGAGAGGCTCAGCTGGCAGCCGCTCAGGGCCGCTGTCCCAGCTCTTCCCCTCCTGAGCTGCAGGACAGACAGAGCCTGGCCAGCCCCAGTGGAACCCTGCGGCGGGGCCCTGGCATCTCCAGGCTGTGTGCATCTCTAAGAGCGAGCGGCAGATGCCCCCCGTCTGGGCTCACCTCCGTGTGCGGCATGACCCTGCCCACACTTTCCGCCTTCTGCTCCAGGCTGTCCTCAGGAAAGTTCATGAAGGTCACGGGACTGTTCTCTGTGGTTCCATAAGCAACCTAGAGAGCCCAGAAAGGGTGTCTGGGGGTAGTGTGGGCGCTGCAGAGGGATGGAGGAGTGGCAGGGGGCAGGGGGCAGAGCGCCCCCTTAGATTGACCAAGGGGCCCCAGATGGGTCATAAAGCTGACAGCGGGGAAACCATTCTGACCCTGGACAGCCACATGTCTGTCTGTCTGTGGCTCCTGTGCTCCCCCACCCCCAAGCTGCTCCACCTTCCCAATTTCAAGTCACAACATCCTCTCTCCTTCCCTTCCAAGCCAAAGGCCCCAGAAATTTGATGGGAAAGCCAGCTTGCCTTAGCTGGGCTGGGAGTGGCCCAGACACAACACCCCCGCTTCGACCCAGGACAAGTGCCTGACCTTGGGCTGGGTGCCCCCCAAGCTCTGGAGAGGTTCCTGTAAATTTATTTCCATCGAAATAAAAATACAGCCAGAGCAGGAATCTAAACCGCCTGTGGCATCCACCCCCCCACCGACATTTTTTTAGTGGTTGGAACATCGTGAACAACAGAAAAACCGAAGCCATCCTAAAACCACCAGGGAACGCCGAGGCAAGGCACACCCCACTCTCAAGGCGGGCAGGGGGAAGAACCCCCAACTGGGCGCAGGGTGTGGGCACAGGGGCTGGCATCCGATTCCAACAGATCTTTGCCAATTCCCCCGTCTCCCTGTATCACCCTCCCCACTTTTCCCGGTGGCCCAGGGCTCACCCTAGGGCCGGAGCTGTGACCTGCCTGCTCTCTGTTGTCCCCCGTGCTCAGGAATCTGGACTCCATGGCTGGCAAGTGGGCACAGGGACCTGGTCCCCTGGGGCGGGGCCGCCCATAACCTAGGGCCTGGCAGCCTGGATCCGGCCGCTTTCCCCGTCCTCAGAGTCCCCGGGCCACTGCCCAGGTGTGGCCTCTGCCAAGTACACCTCGGCGCCACTCGGCTGCCACCCTGAGACCCCCAGGGGTGGGACCTGACCACGAGGGGTGAAGAGGGGATGGGGATATTCTGGGGAGATCCAGGAGGGCGGTGGTACCGCTGGACTTGGTCAGTGGCCTGTGGTCTCCAGGTGTGTTTTGCCAATCTTGTGGGTCACTCCCTCCATCTCTGCATTTCAACCCTAGGAAAAGGGGGTGCGGTGGGGTGCAGGGGACAGAATCACACACCTAGAGAGGAGAGGGGTCAGAAATGAATAAGCCCAGGCTGGGGAAGGCGCTCCCGTCTCCTTAGGGTGGGCTCTGGAGTCTGAAGCCAGAAGGGGGAGCCAGACACCAGAGTGGCCACACAGCACCACACAAGCGCCCAACCGCAGGAGATGCATCCGGCTGTCCAGCCTCGCTTCCTCCCTCCAGGCCAGGGCACCCCACCGAGTGCGGGTTCGGGGGAAGTGTGGAGACTCAGACTTAAGCAAACAAATAAGTTCTGGGAATGCCTCCCTCTCTCTGGGGCAAACTCGGGGCTCCCATACCCGTTCTTCCCCCTCCCCCTAAAAACAGTCCAGGAAGAATGCTGAGAAGCGGCTGCACCCCAGGGGAGGAAGCACAAGGCAAGGCTGGCAGGGGGCCCAGGCCCCCCCCCCGCCATCAGGGCAGGATGCACCTCTGGGTGCGAGGGGG